GGCTTGCGGTCGTCATGATGTTCGTTTGACGTCGTGAAGGTTTCATTTAAGGCCCTTTCATACGTCCCTTGACTTTACAACTTTTTGTGAAGTTACAGTAACGAAAAGTGAAGTTTACCTCATCTAACCCTACCTTTAAAGTACATAGCCGGCTACAGTGTAGCCGGTATTCCGACAACAGGAAGAACAGGTTCACGACAGAATCAATTTTCTGAGAAATCCTAGTCTACTTCCACATGATTTTCTGCGAATCTTGGCGAAATTATTGTTACTATGGTAACACAGGGATAAGAAAGTGTTTGGGAGATAATTCAGAATGCATTAGAATTTTGCTAACGGCATTAATCGAGGTAGGTCCTAGCTTCGTCCCTCGAAAACTGCTTAAGACCTGATTGCCGGTCTTAAGCAGTTTTCGAGGGACGAAGCTAGGACCTATTTTACCCGACCTATTTTACCTGATTTTATAGGCAATCTATTAAGTTTTGACCCATGCCCTCATCTAGGTCATTGAACACTGACTGGTCGGAAATTCAGTGATCTGACCTCTTAATGAGATCCGATTGGAGGTGTAAAGAACTTGGGTCGCGTTAAATTCTTCGAAGATAATTTATTCGGGAAGTGAATTCCGTGTACCATACATCCCAGAATGAAGAACGTTGACGACAATCGTATGTGGGAATCTTAATAGTCTAGGTGTTGTGGTTTTGAACCAAAATTTTATGTGAAACGACAGTTCCGATCCACTGACAGACGCGGTAATAGTTTGTTGTTGTCTTGCCTGGCAAGCTAGCCGGGAGACTCTTTCACTTCATATAAGTTCATAGAAATGACCATGACAGAGTCATTTTTGCGACTAAGCTGCCAAGTTTACTGGCAAAACAAATATGGAAAGAGTTTTTGTATACCGTTGACAAAACCTATTTTCTCAAGTATTATACCTCACGAAAGAGCTCTTCCTATTCTTGCCTGTACTGAGGAGGTTCAGCCTCAATGTTTCTGCTCTTTCAATATCGATCCTCCCGGGTGAATCTGAGTAGTAAATCGCTTCCCAACTGCACTATGAACAACTCAAACGTTTGCAGTCTAACACTGTAAAGTTTGCATGGGTTCTCGAACCCGTGCAGTTTCGAGTGCTAGTGAAGTGCTCGTTAATTACTAGGCTCCATTCATCGGAACAGAAGTTTCTTTGGCCCGTTCCACCGAAAGACTCGGGAGTAATCACAAAGGCGACCCCTGTGAGAACCCATATCCTTGAGTGGTTGAAAGAACTTCGCCAACGAAAATACCTTCATTCGGACGAGTTTTACTTCCGCCCCTTTCTTTTTTTTTGGATTTTTTCTTTTTTTCTCGTTCCATGAATTTTGAATCTTTCACTCCTATTTTCAACAGATGGGAGATATTCGAGGGACATGATCACGGGGTAATCCGTCTCATTTTATAGATCACTTTTGAGCTCTTTTAGTCTTCTTGTCTGTATTGGGATATTGCTCCCATGGGCTGAGCACTTATACTGCTTACGCCATTACCAGTTATGTGAGGCCTGTTAGGTCAAATCCCTAGAGATCTGGCGTTTATTGGCATATTGTAAAGTGCTTGATGACAAGAACCGGGTGGGGGTCGAGTGGCTGGCGGTCATGGTCTGGCCGGTTGTAATACCATAAATGGGTAGAAGGTGGGTGTTGAGCTGATTTCTCAATAGCATCCCACAGTATAACTGGTCTCTTTCAACACCTGATACTCATTGTTTTACTCCGTATGCTTCACATTACTCCTACAATGAGTTACTGAGTGTTTTGATCCAAAATCAAAGGTCACCGGCTTAAGCTGGTAATTGCTCATTGTTGGATAGATGCAGTTCCTTGCTTTAGCTAGTTATCGGTCCTTCATCCCAATTCTGCTCCCCTAATTTCTCCCCTTCTTTCCTGATGGACTTTTCGAGATTGGTCACATTAATTTGTTTATTTGTTGACACTGTTAATCGAAGAAACAGTTGTTCTAGCCACACAGCATACATACAGATTTGACCTTTGTTTATGTATACATGTTGTTTAACATTAATATATATTTTTACAGTTTTCTATTTATTTATGTTCTTCTAGAATTTTTGGTTTGTTCTTCATGTATAACCTGGCGATTTATGCTGTTTTTTGTATTATTTGTTTATTCACTTCAATATCTATAAATTAACTTGCGTGTTTATTTGTTTATTTGTTTGCTTATCCAATAGCACATAATTGTTTGCGGAAGTATTACATGTCAGAAGAGGAAATGGTAATTCAAATAACTTGTGCAAACGAATATGGGCATAGAAGAGAAAATTACCATCACAAATGCTTACTTATATCTTATTTATGATATTTATCATTTATTTATTTATTCATTAAATTTATTTTGTCGCAATACAAATTCTCCTATCAAAAGGTACCACAAAGTTATCATATCAAAAGGAACTTTTTATTTATTTATTTCTTACTGACTCTTTTCTTGGGGCTGAGGAAATCCGGTTCAAAAAAAAANAAAAAAAAAGTAGAAATATAAATAATTGAATGGGTCACCCCAACGTAGCCATCCAGAAAAGCGGAAATGGACATTGGAATGTCCATGCACTTGTATTGCACTCGGAATCGTGACATTTGTGAATTATTACAAATTAGATTTACATCGACAACGTCCACGGTGGGTAAAGGCTATTTCTTATTCTCAAGATGATGACGTAGTTCACAGAGCCTAATATTATTATAATTATTACTACTTATCAACTATTATCATTACTTTGTAGCTTTCTCAAATTTCCGTTCCACCCAGTGTCCTTCGAATTCTTCGAAGGCTATGTCCATAAAGCGGCCACAGTTACTTGGCTGGCACTTCTGTCATAGGTTTCGAAAAATTTTCCCCAAAATTCGTGGTCCAACTCGAGTACCGGCTTCAGTTTTTAGTTCCTATGAACTAAATCAGCTATATGACGCTGTCCACACTTTCTTTAGCAATTTAATTGTTTTCTTACAATTTTAAGTCCATTAAGAATGTTTCATTCGAAGCCGGCTAGAGTCTGGTTCTTGGAAGAAAAGGTAGGGTCGCTGCGTGGGGGTGAAGCCAAATAGAGGACATGGGAGCACGTGTCCGAGTACACTACTGTTCAATGAAATTTAACGACTCAGAGTTGTAATTTTCTGAATTTGTTGCTAAATTTCATTTTCTATTCAATTCTTCTTGTTAAACGCAATATCTTCTTATATCCTTCCCGATACAATCATGCAATGTTTTCGGATTTCCTGATTCCTCAGTAGATTCGAACTTTCTCAGGAAGTGATCTTTCTATAAGTTGAGTAGCTCCAAATTAAAAAAAAATCTTCTAAAGAAAAATTTGAATGCTTGCCGAATTCAATCGCTCGGCTGTTTTTCCTTTTCTGAAAGCGCTATCGTCTAACAGTCATGTCTTCCCGAATACATCTTCAGGGATTTGATTTTTTAAACTTTTTTAAAATTGAATAATTTTTTAAAAAATCAAGTATTTCTGGAGTCGAACAGATCATTGGCTAAATTCCATCTCCTCGACTACATCAGCTTGCTAGAACATACTGTTCGACAGCAGTGCCTTCCTTAATATATGAGTGGAAGTTTGGAGTCCATATCGAAAAGCTAATTGGCTTGAAAAAATCAAATTTGCTCGAAAAACTTAATTAATCAATCAATCAATAAATCCCATCTCTTGATTAACGCTCTTTTTTTTNTTTTTTTTCGTAAGCTATATCGTCCAGTACTTATCTTTCCGAATCCATCACTAGAGCTTTCGAGCCAATTTTTAGTGAATTTCACAGCCTCGAAAAAATAAAAATTACCGGAATAATTCAGATTGATCCATGAATTTTATCACCTTCAATAAGGTTATTTGTTTGGAACCAAAAATCTCATAAATCAAAACATTATTAATTTATTTTCGTTTTTCGGTAGAATTTTTCTTAATTTTTTGATTCTTAATCTTCAATCTTAATTCTTTTTTGAATGCGGTATCGCCCAACACCAGTGACGTACCAAGTACTTAAGAGAAAGTGTTGAGTGGTTATTGATGTTCTGGATGTTTGATTCCAAGCGTTTTTCATAGAAACAACCTCTCCGTACTTTTTTGCAGTCAAGTTTTCAAAGGAATGTGACGACCTGAAAGGATTAAATGTGATCGTTCTATGGGGGACACATTCAGCGCACATTTGGTCCTCCAACCAGCTCCGTTTTTTCNTTATTCGCTTTAATGAACAAGAAATTTCAATTTCCAGAACATTCGCTATTGTATGGAAAGGTCATTGGACGTATTTGTTCTGGTGGGCTTGCGCTTATTCATAGAACCAGTTCAATTAGGCGGCCAGTTATTTCATTGTGAAATAACATTTTCAACTTATTTAATCACCCATTTCTAAGGGGCAGCATTTTCTTTTTCATACATTTTCGATGTAGTTATGACTGCCTTCCTCCTCCCCTTCCCCGCCTTCCCACAGCCCTCCCTCCCGCGCCACCACTCCCGGGAAAGTTCTTTGAAGGAAGTCGCTCTCAAAATTTCCACCGACCGAGAACCCAGCTTAGCCGGAATGGTTGAAGCACATTTTCATTAAATTTTTTATTTTTATTATTATTATCAATGTACTGATGACGTCGCTCCAAACGAAAACTTTTATGAAAATTGATTGAAAGCACTCACATTCAGTCCCATACAGCTGAATTGATTGCTGAGTTCTCATTTGCTTTGAACTTGCTTTTTTCCTGTTATTTCCCCTAAATTACTATGGTTATAATTAGTTTATTTTGTTTTTTATTTTTAAAAATGTTTTTTGTTATGCTGAGGACCTGCATTTTTTAACCGAACCTAAAGTCACATTTCACAACTTGGATCATAGTCTGGTTACTCATCTAGTCGTTCCATTTGTTATCAGAAGTGATGTCATGCGTGGTTTATCGGGCGAATCCAGTTTTTGGGTGACATTTCAGAGAAGACGGCAAGTCGTCCACGGATGTCAACCGAGGCCATCGGGGCGACGAGGGCTACGGCGACGACCACCACGACGTCCACAATCGACTGTATTGTCGAGAAACTCATGCAGGTCAGCTTTTCTAGATACTGTACCACTAAGTGGCCCCCCGTAGCAGAAATTGACCGTATAGCATAATCTGGCAGACTTACAATTAGCCGGTTTCTGAGGACTCTTCGATAGCCTACTTGGGTAAATATTTTTTAAAACATTTGCGGCTGGATTACCTTTGAGTTTAGATATATTCACTGGGAAAATGTAGTGACAGTAACCTCCAGACATGTCTCTACCGTAATCCGGTACCAGTTTGAAGCCATCTTCTGAAATTTTTTGGCAAAAATTGATACTTTAGCCAATTATGGTTACTGTCACTCACATGAGTTCTATTGTCGAAAACCCTTCTATCACATAAGTAAAAACAGAGCCGTCTGTCTGTACCCCATATTGATTTATCGATTAGTGTTCGCAGAAGGATCGCGATCTCGAAATTGCTGCCAAGATCGGTCAGTCGCTGCTCGAGCAGAATCGAGACCTGCAGCAACGGTACGTCCTTCCGTCCTTCTTCCTGGAATCGTTCCTGATTTTTTCTTCAATTTTTTTTTTGTTTTTTCCATGAAAGTCTTGAAATCGATTATTTTATGGCTGTTTCAGGACAGAATTCCTCGAAGAAAGCTTAGCCAAAAGCTCTGAGGAAATGGTCCAAATGAAGCATGAGTTGGACCGTAAAGCTGAGTTGCTCCGAGTCTATTGCCGCTATGATGACGACGGCTTTACCAGGTAAGAAATTCCAGTGAGAATAATATATAATCATTAAATGCTCCAGCGTTTTTTAAAATAAATTATTGAATACCGTTTTTCCCCAGTTTTGATTTCTAGCTGAATAGACATGTGATTCCATATGTTCCTAATAATTAATTTCCCCATCGCGACCGCTCGTGGCTGCTCTTTTCGAGTCAATCGCTTGTACAGCCTACTCTTCGTGGGATTTCATAGGGGCGTAGTGACTGCAACAGCTTCAATTACTCTGAGCACGATTTTTGAAAATTGCCTATTTCCTGGTATTTTCTCTGTTTTTTCCGCTTCGATCTGCGAACTTCACCCAAATTCTCGAAAAGCCGCATCGCGACCGCTCGCGGCTGCTCTACGTATACTGAGCAGCATTTGTAGACCTATTTCCTTTTGACTGATACATATACTTTTTTTTCAAAAAACTTTTACTTCACTTCCGCATAATACAAAGAATAGTCATGCTTCTATCAAATATTTTAATAATCAATCTGTTCAGTTCCAGAGAGACGACGGATGATTCTCTGAAAAAACGCTTAGAAAAAACTAAGCTGGAGAACATTCAGCTCAAACACGATGTAAGTGCCTCAGAGATTATCAGATGTGATAGATTTCTTGATTACCCCTCCCAAGACGATTTTTAGGTGTTCTCCATAAAAAAGGAAATGGAGGCACAAATCGAACGCGATCGAAAGCGATACGAAGAAGTATCACGGCAGTTCGAGCTAGCACAACAGCAGGTGACTGAAACGGAAATTTCTTCAAATTCCCAGAATTTTGGGTTTTCAAAGAAGCATCTTCAGCACATTTAGTATTTTTGAAATCAATAAAAATCATGAATTAAACGCTACCATAACACAATTTAATCCAGGTAATCAATTAAGTTGACAAGTGCCTTGTTACTCCTAGAAAATGAGGAAAAGTTTGGAAAGTGTTGTTCATGGGAGACCAGGATTTGATCTTCTAGGGCGATACAAAAGTAACTAGAAGACGGTAAATAAGTTGTAAATGACTATTGAAATCGGTTGTTTACAGATCGTCTCATTACATGCTCAAGTCGTCGAAAGAGGCGAAGATTATGCTGCTCAGTCTGTAGTGGTGGAAAAACTGCTACGAGAGATTTCCCTCAAGTGCTGTCGTGAACGTGAGGTAGCTGGGCTTTTTCTAGAGAGTGTGCTTTCCACTCTATCTACAATCCGAATTTTTTTGTTCTTCATGTTTTGGATGCTTCTGATTGTGAGATAAATTTTGACGTTACTGTGTAGTAACCACTACTGGTTTTAGCTGACAGCCGAGAATGCCGATCTGAGTCGGCAGGTTGAGGAAGCTTTGCAGAGGCAGAATGAGCTTGGCATGCAGATGAAGGAGCTCCAGGTTAGTGCTAGTTCATTTTGTCGCATTTTTTATTACCAGTAATAATTGTTACACATATTTATCATGGGTGAAGGTCGTCATACACGGTGCCTGAGAAAAGTTATCTTTTACGATAACTATGGGATTTGGTAAGCCACGACTACTACCCGCAAAGCTGTGTGGAGCGGGTTTATTTGCTGTAATGTAGTAGCTCCTGGAAACGGACTTCGCGCTTTTTGTATAAACTGCGTACACTATCTAGAACCAGTAATTGAGGACCTGAATCATAAGGAGCGCGTTTTATAGGGGTCCTACTTCGATGAAGGACAGGGAACAAGTTGTTCCTTGACCCTAATTTGGATTCTGAATCAGGCTATCCCATGAGTTCTGGCCATTTGAGCTATAGGATTTTCGAAAGACTTTCCCTCTTAAGTGGATGTGTGTGAAATATCGAACATTCACCTGTTAACCAGCTCTCAAGAGTTGGTGGGTAAGTTAAGTGAACTAAGATGAACCCGGTATTGGTGAGAGAAGACTATCTGGGAAGAGAGTGTCTCTATTCAAGCCAACAATAACAACTGACCAACTGGACCATGTCATCTGTCGAGGAACAGTGAATTGAAGAGCCATCGGAATTCACTGTGTAGGCAGATCTGCTATTCGGATTTACGCCTAGGCTCATGGTGTATCCCCGAAGGAGATAATATCACACTATATGTGATGATCTCAATCACTTAATTGAAATTCATTGGATTCTTTGTTTGTTTATCTATCTATTAGCTATGAAGTGCCTCCAAACTTGATGAATTTGTTTAACAAAAATGTTTATTTATCTGCTTATTGTTGTTTCCCTATTGTCCCTCCTAAACTCCCATTGCTACATCCTACATTGTCTATTGCAGGACCGCTATGCAGAATTGAGCTGTTTGTTCTCTGATGCCGAAGAGGAGCTGTGTCGTTTCCGATCAGCTCCGCCGATGAGAGCTGGCTCAGTGGATTCGCTTTATGACTCGCTGGCTTCTGAGTTGGAGAACAGCGACAGCGGATTCTCAACGACACCAGCTATGAGTGCTCGAGCTGGACAGGCTCTATCACTTCGTCTTGAACTCCAGAAGGCGTCAGAGGCGGTGAGCATGGGAACATCTTTTCTTGGTCGAATATCACCGTTTTCAGTAAGACAACTTCGAAATTTTGAAATATTTAGCAAGATGCTATTGTATATTCAACCCGCCTGACCCCCATATTATCTCCCGAATATTTATATCGACTCAAGCTTTCTAAAATTTGCTTCGAGCCACAAAAAGTCACGGCGCGACCGCGCACGTCAGCGTCTGACGTGCTTATTGTTTGGATAGGGTTGTCTTTTTCTGTTTCGGGAGAAGGGCCAAAAAACAGCTGCACGCAGTGCACTCTAAATTTCCGTAACGTCAGTGAGGGCAAGCTACAATTAGTTTTTGTTGGAGGCTCGGCTCACGATAACTTTTGGAAATTCAGTTTGAAACGAGTAATGGATGGGTTAGTCCAGAATAATGTAAAAAAGCGAAGAAAAACGCAAAAGCAGCGTATTTAGGGGAATATAAAGCTCCAAAAAAGTGGGCAGGGATTTATCAGTTATTTGATATACTATTTAATTTATTTTATCTTCAAATTGGCGCCGTAGACATTTGGTGCAGACAGACAAGGGTGCTGCGTTATGGAAAAAAGTCATACATCTATAAGGAAGACTCGCCCATACTTTCAATTCCTGGGACCTTTATTTATCCGTTTCCTAGACCTCCTATGCTTTCTGTCAACAAAAAGGAAGTGAATAGATTTCTTGTAGGCATTTCTATAGAGTAAGCTGCTAGTACCTCAAAAATGAAAAAAAATGAAATGGTTGTCAGATCAACCAGAAATTACTAGAAGGTATGTTATAACAGAGTCTAATCCAAAGAAACCTTTAGATCGAGGCTGCATCGCCATCGAAAGAAGAGATCGATGTGCCTTCAAGTGTACTAGCTGAGGTGGTTAGAAAGAAAATTTCTATTGAGCCCATTGCACCACCCCAGACACCGTTGAGCGAGGTGGCGCCTACGCCTGAAACACCCAGAAGACGGCTTGAACTCACACGAAAGCTCACCTGTGATGTCAGCACTTCCTGTTCCGAGTTAGCTGGGTATGTTCCGCCTTAATTGCAAATGAATTGTTTTTTTTGGTTGGGGTACGTGACCGCCGGCTGCAGTCGCGAGCGGTCGCGTGGCGGAGTAGCACAGCGGATCCATGATAATTTCTTTTCCGAAATTGGTAACTCCTCCTTTTCAGGCCGTCGCTCAGTCCCGTCGCTACCTCAACTCCTGATAGACCATCAATATCTAACGAGGGTATTTTGCAGGTGCTTTTTAGAATAATTTTTGATCTATCAATCAATAAAATAAATCAATGTTGACGATCAGAAAGATTTGAAAAAAATTGCAAGTTTTTNTCCTTTTCAGGCCGTCGCTCAGTCCCGTCGCTACCTCAACTCCTGATAGACCATCGATATCTAACGAGGGTATTCTGCAGGTACTTTTCTAGAAAAGTTTCTGAACAACCAATCAATAAAGCAAGCAAAGCAATATTGACGATCAGAAAGGGTTGACAAATATCCAAAGTTTTGATTTCAGCTGTCTGAGCCGCGCTCGACCTGTTGCACGCCGTCTACTCCTCCGGCCAGACCGTATCCCTCGTTTTTCTCACCTCATTTCCGAGGATCATTACGCTTACCCTCCAGGGTAGCCCCTGTTCCACGACCGATAACGAAGTGCTCATCAGACGATTCCCTTGAAGACTACGTGGCACCGAAAATGGGTGAACCTGGAGTTCCGGGTACACGTGACCTTATTGTTTCGCTGAAAATGCTGAGAGCACGTCGAAAGGTAGTTTTTAATTTGTCGTGAATCGTGTTCGTGTTTTCTGGTCTGTTGGGTTTGTCAAGGAAGGTATAAGTGCATGCTTGTCGTCGTTCCACTCAATCCCGACACAGTGAAAACATTTGGGTTCCTGGAATTTTGCGCGAAAGTAGGGGTTTTGAAGTGTCCTGAAGAAGCTGAAACTTGTTTTCCAACCTCTCCCGGTTGTTTGGGAGATATTTCCCACTGTATGGATGGGGGCAGAAGCGATCGTCGCTCACAAACTTCTGCTCACCCCTGATTTGCATCTATGGTTAAGATAATTGGGATACTGTAATGCGGCAAGTCTGCACTTTCACACAGCACCCGAATGTTTTGTCAGGATTGCCGGCGTCCAAGTTATGTGTTACAAAAACAGCTCTTCAGCCGTCTTTTATTCTGTTCTAGCCTGTTCGCTTGTTTTGTTTCTATTGACTTTGTTAAAAAAACGCATGGGAACTCCGTAGATGGCAGTATTCCCTCCAGAAAACGCCGACAATCCTGACTCAACATTTTCGGTTTTCGGAATGAGCGCATTCATAGTACCTCCGTCCTGACGCACATTTCTGCGTTTTAGTAAGTGATTCAGGACGCACGTATTATGAATGCGGTCGGCAAAAATTCAGTCCGTACATAAATTTCCTTTGAAGCGCTTACTACTACTAGTCGTAAAATACCGCGTACTAGTCGTGAGATAGTCACAGACCTGGCGCGTTATTTTACGACACAACTTTATTCGGAAGTTGTTTACGCCTAGTTTTAAGTTTTATTTTGATACGGACTGATTTTTTTCTGTTCTCATTTCTTCGTATGCTATTTTTCGGGTGCATGAATCGGCTTGTTTGGCTATCAGAAGTAATAATCCAAGTAACACTGTGTTAACTTAGAATATACTACCAAATCAACATTAATTGAAGCAAGTTTTGTTTTTTTCAATTTTATACCAATTCCAGTTGAAAAATACCGCAGAAACTTTATTAAGCGATCGTTTTACGACCTTTGGAAAAGATGGGTGTCCATATAGTTCCTACAGTCGTCCCAAGTTGATTGAATGGCCGGAATGGCAGCCGGAATTTGTCAAATTTACTGCTTATGATCTCCGTCAAACTAGTTGCTTTCAAATGTAACTTTCTTTTAAACTCGCTGAATTTCTATAATCCCTCATTATTTTCATTTTCACTTCTTTTTTGAATCATTCTATATGGATGTAAAATTGCTTCGGGATTTATTTATTTTGTTGTTGTCTGACTGTTACATCAGCCTTACGCCACGGCATTTTAAATGGGGGCATTCCAAAGCAATTACTTGCTGCAGTAAATGTAACAAACAACAGAAGGTAGCTCAATCAAAATTAATTTGTCATCAACAACAAACTATTGGTGCACGGAAGCAACCAGGTAGCTTCCCCCAAACATCACTCAACACTTGGGAATGTACCTGGGGTGTGAGAGGGGGTAGATGAATTCTAATGGACTCTGTGAAAGCGGGCAATGCAAAGGTGCTTTTTCGCAGTAAAAAATGATAACAAAGTCGTTGAGCATGGTTCATTGTCCGCAAGTTGCAGATTATCGCGTTCCAGGTTATGACAGAAGGGCCACCTGGAACCATATCTTTTACCGCAACTTATTTCAGCAATATGCTGACAAGGGTTTGGGTCCATAGTAATATATACTTCTTATTAAAACTGCCTATAACAGCTGATATTCATTATATACGCTACAGATTTCCTCTTTTCCACTTATCGGCTTATTTCTCTCACTAATCGGATTTATTCGGGCTTGACTGCAGTAACATAGTCAGTAAACAATTTTAAATTCCTGAATGTTGTTTTCCATGTCGCAGGTGTGACAAATCCACGATGCTTAGCTACTTTTCACTTACCGGCTCTCACGTTATAAGGGACCGATTTCAACAAATTTTTTAAGGCTGAACTGAAGTTGAAGGGATATGGGGGTGGTTTAGATGATTTAAATTCGATTCAGCCATTCATTTCACTCACCTTGGGTGTGGAATTTTATAGTCTTTTTGTTTTTGATCTATCGAGATTTTTAGTCAGAAAAATTAATGTTAAACATAAAACAACTCATATTTTGCAAGTTCTGTTTACTAAAAGGTAAATAATGTGATTTGACAGCTTCTGGGCTTCACTGACTTTCATGTCAGTTATGCAAACTCTTTCATGTCAGTTATGCAAACTCGCTTAGAACTAAGCGGCTAATCTCTTTGAGTTTATCAACGATCAAACTTTGTTCTGCTCGAACTCGGAATGAACATGGGCTGTTTCCTGGAAGTCTCAATCTATCTTTCAATTGCTTGCGTACTGTCGAGATCGTGATGCATGGCGTGAACTTGTAGTATTTCTGATAATTCTATTTGGTTGATGTTGTACTGAAAGGCTTCTGGAAAGATTGATTGAACTTTACAGTACTCGTGTGCCACTCTCAAAGTAACGTTCCCAGATCTGGAAAGTACATTCCATTGGAAGTAGTTCGAGGAGCCTAAATACATCGGTGTGAAAATCTTGAGGGGGAAAGAAGTTGGGGCGCATGTTGGATCATTGCCAAGTAAAGATGCCGATTGTAAAGTACTAGAACTAGAATGTACTAGAAAGGAGTACTCCTTCAACCTAGATAGCAGGTATTGGTGGCAATCGTAGTTGTAGTGAAGTCGTTTCAGCATGTGATGCTTCTTGATCGGTGTCCTCCTTAAGTTTTTTGCACCGACGTATTTCGGTACGGTCTCCGACGCTATGGATTGGTCGAGCTCTTCGCTTCCTAATATGAGAGCTTGTATAACCAACAACTCATGCTGCGTGCGGTCGCGTTGCGGCCATGAATAATCTAGAGTGGTCGCGAAAATGTGAAAAGGTAGCTATAGACGCTGACTTGGATTGCAGAAGGATAGGAATGTAGCAAAATTCTTAATTTGTTCAAGCCGACCTAACTTTTCTGCTTGGCGCCAGTTGATTTACGTGCCGTGTCTCGACCGCTCGCGCGTTTGTCACGTACTGCGTACTTAGCAAAAGTTTATCTCAAAGTGCTTGGGTAGATTTAAGAAGTTTATGAGAGCTCAACTGAACAGCATTTACTTAGATATCATGGCCTTAGAAAATTAGTGCATAAGTCGCTGCGGATATTTGCACACAACTAGCTGACTAACGTGCTTGATATTTCTTTTCAGGCACGAGTGCTGTAATTAGTTCATCACAGGGGACTGTATCCGAAAAGTGATTCGTAGTTATTTAGGTAGAACACGATTACGCCATGTTTCTACATCGAAAAGGCCTACCGCCTAGTTCATTCTTCCCTGAACAACCGTCGGTAGGATTATGATATTTATAGTCTACAAGGATATCTAAGTCACTATGGTCACCTCTAAAAATTTGAAAATAAACTTAAAATTTAATTTTTTCATTCACAGCACTTTCAGCGTTTACTTTGCATGGTAGAAGCTAACATTGGGGTCGTTTTCGGTGATGGTATAACAGTCTTTTTTTATGCGTCTTTTCATATAAATGAAATAAGGACACGAGTTGAGTTTCACGAAACAAGAAACGTTGTTTCCTGTCGATATTTCTAATCGATATTTCTAGTCGTTCTAATTTCTAATTTTATGGTCCAATCAGTTTAACTTTTTGCTCCCTCTGGCGCAATACCTGATGTTCGAAAACTTTCCTTTTCAGGCATCAAAATGTCCAAAACCGAAAGAGGAGTGGACTGATTTCAGCGTGATTCTCGGCCAAGATCATCAAAGGTCAGTTTGTAGACAGCCAAGGCACAAAAGGTTTCGAAGTTTCGTCTTGCGCGTGCGGTCTCGTCGCGGCGTGACCAAAGTGGTGTGTAATCGCAATGTGACCGCACGCGTCTGTGGCTCGAATGCTCCTTCAGCTTTTCATTTCGAACCTTCGTAATCCTAATTTTATGTGATGTTTTTTCAGGATGGTTAGAGCATACACTGGTGCAGCAACCATTGGATTGGGGTCTCTCAAGTCTTCGGAACAGTCCGGTGTGCTCTCTAGAGCTGAGGTACTGCATCGTATTGGATGAGTCAATTTTCTCTGTTGTCAGCATACACTCTAGGTGCTCCCAAGTAATATTTGCATTGATTCGGAACTGCCCATTTTGGTTTGACCAAAGGTTTGAGGTCCACACCTTTTCGAGATTTCGTTTCTCAAACAGCGATGTCCGACTGCTAAATATCCAAAACGTGATGTTCTGTTTCCTATTGCCTTTACGGGTACGGGGCATCGGGAAGTGCTGGCCCACGTATGGTTATAGGTGATCATCTAGGAGGCTGGGGGTCTGCGGAGAAAACAATTTGGCACATTGTTATAAAGATTGAACCCAAATTTTATCGTCACCTTCCTGTATTGCAGCTCGTCTCGCCCTTGTCGTCACCGCAACGTTTCGGTACTGCTTCGATGTCGAGCGGACTGCGTTCGCTGGCCTCATCGATGGGAGATGCGTTCTCGGGCCGAGGCATCATTCTCCGTCGATTCTGATCCAAAGAGGAAATGGGAGATCTACGATCCACACTAGTGTCTCAACGGGTCCAATGCTTACACTCCTTCCGCATTTCGACTTTTCATCTTTAGACAGACAGCATCGATCAATCGATCGATTCGATTGATCGTTGATGTACCTAGAACGGGAAATTCCTTTCACCTGACCAATGAAAACGGAATTTATCCCGTCCTTGTACTTCTATAATCTCCTAGAGAATTTTAATTTCGTATTTTCAAAGAGCTTTTTAGTTCATCATCATCCTTAACATCATCAACATCTATTGATTGATTTTAATGATTGGTCTACTGATTTCTTGGCCACCAAAGGCCTTTTATTCTCTGAGACAGGTGCAACTATAAGTGTAATTGTACAATATATATTCAAAGAGTCGTAAATAACGGTTGATTTTGTTATGCTGAAGAAGACATATGTATTATTGTTATAGGTGAAATCTAGATATAGTGCTTTAATGTGAGAATGTGGAATAAAGTATTATCAAGGAATTTTTGTGCGATTTTTGGAATCAGTGTAAACAACTGCTGTAAAAATACGTGCATTGTAAAAAATTATCCGTTTTAATTTGAGTAGATTTAATGAATACTTAAGATTAAGACTGCAAGCTGAACTGGTTTCTTCATGATGAAGTAATTTTCATTTTATTATTATCAATTTCATGAGCGTCTTTCCCAATAGCGCGACCCACAAACTAAAATTCAAATGTTAGGTTCATGATAAAGGTGGTTCCTGAGATTTTTCCGTGGGTCATATCTGTGACCTTTAAGGATCACAAGAGACTCGATTTCCGGCATGGTCGCGTCTCTTGTGATATCCTTAAAGGTTACAGGTTTGACCCACGGAGAAAACGGCCTAGATAGAGCGTAACAGGTGCCCCAAAGTTGACGGACACGCCCAAACATGGACGAGTTATCGGATAGACGCGTCATACTTTTGTCCAATCCTTAGTTTTACTACTTTCCTGGATCCTTCTATTTTCCCGAATACGTCAATTTCAGCCATTTTTGCACGATGCTGGGCTATCATTCCATTATTCATCTGAAACTAGATTTTCCAAACTTACTGTGAGCTGTGCCTTTAGCTACATCATGGTCATCGAATTTGATTTAAAATCCTTTGTTCATACTGAAACGCTTATTAAAAAATATTCTGGTTACTTTCATTGCTTTTCCAGCACCCTTCGTTTCCTTCCAAATGTTAGAAGCCACGAAATCCCTCAATCATTTTTGAAGGTAGTGGTATACGAAATTTTTTTTTTGCTGAATCTTGGACATACAAACTTGTTTAATCCCGGGCTCAATGGATTCTTCGCCAATTTCTTCTAAAGCTTTTTAAACTTTTCACCAATGCTGCTATTGCAGTATCGTCTGGAACTCAATGTCCTGAAGTAAAGTTCAGCTTCGGGAAAGTCAGCTTTTTTCTTGGACTTGGTTATTTTGCAAAAGATCGGCCTAGGAATAGCCTGTGACTCGAGGCAAACCCTTTTTTACCAAGTCAACGAGGGACGAAAATAAAGATTGCGTGAGAAAACTTTAACTGATTAATTAGAAATATTCGTGAATAACTATAGATTGAACGCGGCCCCTTCTCACATTATCCGAAACTAACCAACCAATGAGCAAAAACCAGCCAATCAAACGTTGCGAGGCAAAAAAAAAACTTTTATCTTTTTGACTAATTGTAAGAAATGTTCCTAAGCACCATTACTGGCCTGCAAAGCTGGTTAGCCTCCTCTGCGCTCTACGCCTAGTGATAGAGACGAAGGTTACCCTTCCCCATCAAGTTACATTTTCACTCGGTTCTACGTTTTACAGTTTCAAAAAACACAGTCTATAGGAGTGCAACTAGTAGGGACTATTTACATGCATACATTTACATTTACAATATTTACATAACAGTTAGTTTCCTTTGGAAAAAAATTTGGTCGAAAATTTAGGAATAAGCCTTTGAAGCTAGCCATTGCTTCAATACATTGTGGTGGATCAGTTCGTTGAAGTTAGAGGCAGACCTCGCTAGCTAAAGTAGCTAGCTAAACTTTCAGGACTGATTTGGGTCGGTTGTTAGTAACTGGACCTGAGCTGAAACTTGAAATCGTGGAATTTGATATGGGTACCTAAAAAATAAGGCGAAGTTTGATCTGATCTGAATGGTGAATGCATGGCGTATAGTATAGCAAAATGGCCTATGGGGCAAATCTTCTACTGGTATGCTTTTTAACCTAAAATAAGCGGACTGAATCATGTATTGATCAATCACTGATAAGGATCAAAGGCGATTACCCAATTCCTACTTTGACTGAACACTGGGAAGCGCATTTTCTTCACTTTCCATTGATGTTCGCTGAGCTTTACTGTCATTCTGACTCGGCCTAAATACCTTTTACCTTTTGCTCACCTTTGTTTCGGATTGCTCTTTCTCCCCCTTTTAGCGATGGTTTAGGACCGGCTATGCTTGAAGTAGCTCAAAAATGAGGCGCAGAAAGACTCTGAGACGACAAAAAATGCAAAGAGTCGGCTGAAAGATCGTGAAATGTGCACTTTCATTTTGCAATCGACCTTGGTTACAGTAAGATGACCGTATAAAGGAAAGTGGATGACGTCATAGGTGAAATACATTTGCATTTGCCGAATTTACCACGCTCCTTGATCATCATAAACTCAGGGAGAGTACCGCTCAGAAAGCGCAGCGAGCTTACTAAGTATGAATTCCCTTGGTGGGACACATGAACATGAACACACCTACAGAGCGCATGTTTGGCTGTGAGGCCTAGGAGGCGCTATCCCATGAACTCTCTTTAATGTGTCCATAAATGCATATAGCTACAAATCTAGTTCTGTATAATGCTTTACAAACAATTATAGTGATACACCAATAATGTCTGGCAAACTACAAACCGCTAGCGATCCGCCCCTCACTTCTGAATGTCCCGTTTGTCATGCGAAACCACCTGCCCCTACGGTACGTAATTTCGAACTCTTTATTTTTTCCAAAATATTCTTGTACCTAAAGGTAGAAATTATGTTTTTATGAGATTCAGATGTCTTCCTAGCAATACTTGTGTCTTCCTAGCATCTCCCTGTCTGGAATGACAGCATGGGCTTCCTGTCATGGTCAAAATTGAAGCGAATTAGTATACCACCCGGAAGTCTTTCATGAAAAGGGGTGCTATTTCACATCCTCGTGGACCGAGTAGAAAAACCGTTGCCACAAGGTGATCCCACTGAAGAGTCAGTCGAACAATCTTCTATATACTCCGAAAACCCAAAGGAGTAACCAGATAAACTGGGGAGCGGGGAACTGGCAGTCTCCTTTAAATAGAAGCATTCTATAATTTTGGACCCGGGATAGAATGAGTAGGGCTCCAGCCCAAATTCGTAAAAGAGGGCCAGTGAGGACCAATTAGACTTGTTCATGGTCATGGTAGCGACACTTCGTCTGATTTGAATTCATGGGTTATACAGTACATAGCTCATTTTAAGGATCAGTTTTGTCGCCGTTGTGGATGCCGACTTCATCTCGTATGCAGACATTGCCAAGCACAAATCAAGTAGGATTTTCTCACTCAACAAAGCTAAACATACATTTTTGTGTTTATGTACTTGAATTGTTTATAGTAAACAGATAGGTGGCACTTGCTAACAGGCTCTTTTATGCCTGAAGGTTGTCCCATAGTTGCCAGTCCCTCTTTGAAACCATGCTTCAAGAAAAATTGTTTCGCGATATCTCCACTATGAACGAACTTGTAACATCCAAGTCACGGTATGAGGAGCTGCTGGCCTAGAAAACGGTATAGACAGAGCGTAGTAAGAGCACAAAGGCCGGATTCATCGACTTCCATACCCAAAGGTGGACGAGTTTTGATGGCCGGTTTCCTTTAGACAGGAGTACTCACGAGGGGCATTCACGTTGGAAGTTCAAACAACTACCAGCACTTCACTTTTCCGTTTAGGGAGGGTTTTCTGAAAGCCATCGTGAACCGTGCTATAGAGATGCCACCCACTAAGCGCTGTGTTGACACCTTAAGCAAATGAGTTACTTATTTACTCGGCTAGTAATACTTTTAGGGGGTGGAAATCACCTCATTCTGGCTTTCCGTGTACGAAAAGTTCAATATTCTACGTATAAGCTTTAAAAAAAGGTGAAACTGTGGTTTTCATCCTCCTTCCCCTCTTCAAGAGCTGCGAGGATGGCCGTGTTAAGTTGTTGTCTGAAGGCTCAGGCAAAAAAAGCTGAAATACTGACTTATTTACTAATTATTTTTTCAAAAATCTCTCTATAATTATTGATTCGTTCAGACCTCTCGATAGATACTGTGCATCGTGTGGAGCACGTCGTCTGATAATATTCGATCAGATTAGACAAGGTGAATGAGTAGTCGATCAATCGATTGGTTTTTAGCAATATTGAATTCCTCAAGGCCACAGGTTTCGGTCTTTTTCAGGAGCCTACAACCATTCACCCTTCTTCGCTCTCGGCACAGCCGTTGTGCTAGGCTCAATCCTGGGCTCGGCTTGGTTGGCACTACGCTACGCTCTTCAAAATAGACGATGATGATATTCCAATAATGATCGTACATTATTAGAAAAAATGTCTATTATATTCTAGAATTGTCGCTTTTTATCGTGTAAACGTACACTCGCGCTATCAAACGTCGTAGAAACAGATATGAGTTTGAGATTTGACTGAGCGACTGTGTCTGAGAGTCAGATTCCTTGTCGTATTGAACTGTCCTGGGCCTGCTAGACAAAACTGGTAGTTACTTGGTATGCAATCATACTTGCAAAGAACATCAGAAATTCTTCTGTATGCACCTCGTTCAACGTGGTTCCGGTGTAATACAACTCCGTTGCTGCTTGTGGGTGGCAGGTCCATTCCTTACTCATGGGTGAGTTGGTTCGATGCAAGGGAGTCTTGGTAGAGTTGATTAATGCGAGACCCTCTTCACGGAATTCTGGGAGCGTGAAATCGAGAAATCGTGAACAAATACCTGGACCGACTGAAGAAGAGGTCTGTGGTCTCGATTAACCAGGGTACACGATTATTGCATTGTAACTCCAAGTAACCTCTTTCCCATTCATCCCCTCCCACCCTCCCGTGGTGCAACTTTCTTTGTTCCCTCTTTTTGAGGGTTTCCCATCAGACGAGCAACTGGGAATACGATGCATTCGGTGATAGAGGTGCTAGTATTGATCAGCATGGATGTATGCAGTGATTGGGATGCATGAAGCGCCCATAACTCACGGGGATTCCGCTGCAGGACGAAAAAACACCTTCGACTGCTGGTGGTTGTGAGGCTTTTGGTTTGTAAACGAAGTCCGTAGCTTCGCGTGGGCATCATACTGGATCAATCATCAACTCCAAATGTCTTATCGCATCGAAAACGTAACCCGCCAAACAAACAGGGTTGCACCTTCTTCCTCTCTCTTAGCAGTAATGAAATTGTGTGGAAGAGTCGTCGAGAAAGGAAACTGTGCCGAAGTACGGGTAGGAAGGGGCCATCTCCGACAAGCTGTACACATGAGTGTTCAAACAGCGAACAAAAGAGTGATGCTGTATTGAAAACTTGGGAGGTGTCGATACCATGCGACATGTGGTGCAGTGGTTAGAATTCCGACATAGAGAAAATGCATCGACAGTTCAGTTCCCGGCATAGACGAGAATTTTTGCTGTTATCAGGAATATTAAAAGGTTACCTTTGAATGATTAGGATTTGTTGTTTCAACTGTGCACTCACTCTGGGACTGATCCTCAAGGGGAAACGAGACGGCGATTGATCAGTGCTTGTATAAAACTTGCACCTGTTCTTTGTAGTCAAGTGGTTATGTGGTGGCGGAGTGGCGATGGTACCTATCCAGCAACGAAGGATCGGGACCAGCACAGGCAACTGTTTTGCCACTTTGAGTTTGGATTTTATCAGTCTAGCGCCACGTCATTAGAGAGTTGTTGTAGCTTACCCGCTCTGAATACGATTCATTGGCTAGACACGTCTTACGGAGGGGCTCCAAGACGGTTTAGGAAGCAACTGAATCCTTCCTCACGCGAGTTCGATTGGAAGAGAATGCAGAAGAAGAGGTTTGCCTTTAGGGAAGTGATCCACATGCCTAACGTACTAACTTCATTTCGTTAATTTCCAAGATTCAATGAGCACTCTACCAACCCAGAAACTTCTCTTCCTTATTGCTCTCATGCATCTCTCTGTCCCCTCTAATCTAGAGGTTTGCATTAACAAAACCGAGCTGAATACGGTGCAGACGGAGGATGTAGCGGAAGGATCCGCTGGTTGGTGTTCGTGTTCCGCGTTAGACAGCTCGGGTGGAGTCAGTCAAGCGTCCGACGGGTAAGAGCCGCTCTGTTAGGAGGTGTGGTAACCTCCTGGTTAAGGCAATATACGCCGGGCAGTTCGGCTTGATAGGGCGGCTCGGTAGTCGAAGTTGTTGCGTGTAACTTTTGGTTCGGCAACATGAAAGGTAGCCTGTCGGATCAAAAGGTCCTGTTGATACCACAGAATGCGTTTTGTTACGAATGGAACACATATATTCCGGTAGTACATCCATAAATACTGGAGAGTCCAGGAATATTTGGAAAAGGTATTCACGAGTGCAAAAAATCGGACCCCAGCAAAGATTCGAACACTTGAACACGGCACTTGTTGCGATTGCTCAGGGTATTATTTTACACCACTGAGCCACCTGACCTATGCAGGCAGAAGCAGACTGACCCTCGAGATGGTTATACCGTTCTGCTTGTTTCTCAGCATGGGGGCATACTACAACAAATCGTCAGCAGTTGGTTCTATCCGCCCACATTACGAGCTTTCAAGTTTGAAGATAGCAAGATCTAATTTATATGATTGAGATGGAGCCCTGATGACCATTCGTAGGAGAACCGGAATTTCCTAATGTTACAAAGTCAAAATCTGCTAAAGTACTCCGTAGGAACATCCCAGTATCCCTGGGAATAGACTTTGAGGGCGTCAAAATCTGCAAAAGTCACAGCCTGATCAGAACTAACAGTTCCACTCAATCACCAATCGTAGTGTGGAGCATTTCAATAACAGTTAGCAGTGCAGGCTCCCCTTCGATTGATGGTAACCTAGGTATGCCCTGTAGTCAACTGCCAACGGACGTATATAGATCCTATCGATTTTTTTTTGGACTTAGTTTTTTTTAGATGGTTTTGGCCCCACTGACCCCTACGGTGCTGGGTGAGCACTTTTGTGCCAGATACCACTTCCTGTTCCCATATGGGGCTGGGCTTTTCACTGTATACCTTGCAATTGCCCTAGTCGCAAAAAAATGTATTAAGACGTTCGTTCAACCACAATAAATCCATTTTCAGCGTTCCGATTTCGAACCCTCGATCTTGCAAACATGCAAGCGGACCCTTACCCGCTACGCCATCATGCCACGGAGAAATGCCTCTCCTTGGCAGACAGAGAGCATTCTCGATGG